TCACGATTGAATTCGATTCCGATTCAGAGGTCAACGATTCGATTCTAAACCGATTCAACCGATCGCCAAGCATCTCGATTTTCTAAATTTTCTCAAATCTGAGTTTGCTACTCAGGTTGCTTATCACTTCCTACTTTATTTGATAATTAAAGAAAATCAACAGATGACTTACCTTCTCTAATTTTTTAGGCCCAAGAGAAAAAAAATCTCACAAATATGATTTTATATCAACAATGCAAGAACCAATGCAGCTTGCATTTCAACACAATATGGAAGTAGCCTATGTAAAAAAAAATATTAAACGATTCATTTTTCTTTTAAATGAAGAAAAAGCTGCTCTTAGTCTCAGGCCGGTCCGTATTTGTAAAATACCGGAAAAAAGTCCAAATCTGTGAATATCTTTCACTGAATCAACTTTCAATACGGATCGACTTTTTGGAAAATCTAAATAATGAGGTAAGAAATGCGCAGGCTCCTCCATAGTTCGGTAAAGTTGGCAAGATATTCAGATTCAGACCGACGGACCGGTCTGCGAGCTGGACGCATTGCTCTTAATGTGCCGGTAATGATGGTAAATGATGGTTGTAGCTGATTGTCATCTACGGTCCACTACGATTACCGAAGGGGGGCGTTTGTGTTTTGACAACGTTTTATCTCATAATCTCTTTCTATCCCCTTACATTAGTGCGGAAATGGGCTTCTATAGTTGTGTGAATGCATCACTACAGCCAATCCAAAGACGGGGTTTGTAACCAATCAGGTGTAGAGACCATGGTGACTGGCTCCGCCCCCTTACTGTCAAAAAGAAAAACAGCGAGCGCGTAGAAAACACCTTTGAGCGCGAGCAGAGACTAACCTCGCGAGCGAGGAGGTTCACGCTCCGCGAGCGAGCAAATATCTCGCGCGAGACGGGCTTTTTTTTTTTTTTTATTCCGATTATTAACTTTTCTGAATCGAGACCGAATCGTTCTAGAGAGAATCGAGAGAAATCGAAAAATCTATTTTTTTCCCCCACCCCTACCAGTCCCCCACCAGCTAGAGGCACAGATCAATAGTTCTGTTCTTCAGTGCTGAGGCAGAGTATTTTTCTTTTCATTATCTTTTTTATTTATTTTTTGTTGAGGTTATCAAGATTCTTTGAGGAAAAAGCCCAGAAGACGCTTGTGTTTCTCCACAAAGGACCCTCGTCTCCCAGTCACTTATTAAAGGCCCGAACGCCAGACGTGGCATCGCCGCCGCCTTCCTCCTCCTTCCATTGTCTTTCTATCCTCACCTCCTCCATCCCCATCTCTGTTCCCATGCCCGCAACGCCAGTGCACGCCAGTCAACAGCACGTCTCATCACTGCGCCCCAGGGAGACGACTAGGAAGTGCGGATGCGTCTCGTCTCTAGCAGGCGGTAGGTGGCGCCACTGTCACACTGTCCTCCCCCCGTTTCGGTCCTTCGCCAAGCAGTGTCCTTCACTGCTCCCCGGCCGCAGGATCGACAAATCAATGATTTCCATTTTCAGCTGATTCATAGTTGATTGAGTATGGAAATTACTGCTTATTTATTTTTATTTTTAGCAGTGTCTTCCCCACCCACCTTCAAGAATTAGTACTGAACAATTTATTTTATTCAATTCTTTTGCAGACTTAAAAGTTGTCGACCGTATTTACAGTATTTGAAGGTTAAAAATACTAAATATAAAATTACAAGTTCCTTAAATGCAAATTCTGGCCTTCAAAGAAGGGATTATTTTCATTATTAATGAATTGTTAACTCTTTAAAGTGATCACTGGCTCCGCACCACCTACAGAGTAATATCGAATAATCGTTTCAGTGTGACTTTCACTGATTTCACCTTCTGATGTTTACTGTCGACTGTAGACACAAGTCTTGGAAAAGTAAGCAAGTGGGGTTTGATTATTTTTCCAATGCTACTCCAGAGCTTCACATTCCCAAAATGCCAAAGCAATGAGAAGTGTGTGGATATGTTTCCATTTAATTTCCCGGAAATCAAAGCTATCCAGATATTGAAAGATGATACCCATTGGGTTCCAGAGACCAGAAAAACCCCAAACATAATATTTCCCTTTATTGGGGAGAATCTAAGGAGACCATTGAGGAAAAATATCAACACCACCGTATTTTACACGCTGCTGCCCCAAATGTGAAAATCCCTCTGCTGCTCCCTCTGCTGCAGATGTAATAGACTGACACTGAGGTGACTATGAGCGGTGAGTTGATCATGGGCCGGGCTGTATCTGAAAGATACACACACCAACCTGTGTGTGTGTGTCCCCTTTCATACTGCGGCCCTCGGCGTGGGCCCAGCATATACCTCCGACTGTGCCCAGTGTCCGTGTTTATTCGGGTGTGTTGTTGAGAGAAAAGGGTAAGTTTGTGGTACTTGGCACCCTACGTGCATCACATTAACATGAATGTCTTTTTTGGCATCACAGCCGGGAGTGTTGTGCGTGCGCTCTCAGTCAGTATAACCTCTGTGCCGGGGAACTTGGCGCATGCAGTAACATGGTCACTCTAAAGCTTTCATACATGCACTCAAGTTGCTGGAGCCACAGATATGTGTGTGTGTGTGTGTGTGCATGTGCGCTGCGGTCCGGCATTTAACCTTGCAATGTATTCCTGGAAAGCCTGTGTAGGATTCGTGGGGCTTGGGCCTAATCCACTGCAGCAGCAGCCAGCGATGACTGTTTTCGAGTTAACAAGCATTTCAGTTGTCCCCCCCCCCTCTCAGTATAAACCTCATCAGAGAAAATGTGCAGCGTCAAGACAAATAGAAGGAAGGAGACGGCATGTGTGCGTCAACGGGCATCTTGAACTCTATCTGTATGCGGGGAGGGATTTGAGCTCGATGGACAGGAGGGGGTGAAAAGAGAGGAAAGTGTGTGTGTGGAAAAAGAGGCTTGAATGGGGTTTGAGAAGGCTGAGAGAGCTCAAATTAGCTTGATGAAGGGGCTGCAAAGGGAGCAATAAAATCAAGGGAAGTCGAGGTGCAGGCCATGAATAGGTGCAGGAAGGAGGAATGGATTGAGACTGAATAGGAGGGAGGGAGGGAAGGGGGGAGGTAAATTGCACCAATAAAGCCCAGGCTAATTGTGCCTCTGCATTCTCCAACGTTCACCCGCTTCTCCTTCCACCATCCTCCTTTTTCTATTTCGGACTGCAAACCTCCTCTATCTTCCACATTCCTCCCATACTCGTTTTCCTCCTCCGGCCTCGCTTCTTCCTCCTCCCTAAAGTGGCTGTTGTGTAACTCTGCAGAGACTGACCCAGCAGCAGTGATGCCATTGATCAGCAGTTCTGGTGCCAGGCTGCTCTCATTGTAATAAACAAGCTCTGAGCCGCTGGAACCGACCCGGAGTGCTTTCACAGGACTGGAGGAATCACTCACAGACACAGACACACACACACACACACACACACACACACACACACACACACACACACACACTCACGACCTATGACGTAATGCAGAAGAACCTAGAATTGTCTTAAATTTACAGCTTGTCTGGATTCCATCTTTTTGTACTGTAATTTTATCTTTTGTTATCTTTATTTAGTGGACCTGGTGGTCAGGATTCTTTGAACAACATTACTTGTCTTCTGTCGTTATCCTGTTGGAGAGGATTTAAAGTTCCAAAGTTTTGGGCTGAAAATAGCTCCTTTCTTCCATCTTTCTTTTGTCTTCAAGCCAATGCAGAAATCTTTGTGAAAGTTCTGAAAATGCCATGTTGGGAGCTTTTTTGAAGTACAAAGTCAATACATAAACATCCTTGATTTGAAGCCAGTGTGGGACCTTTGCCCCCCCGACAATTCACAATGCTTCCCCAAGTGGCTGTAAGAAAAACACATCTGGTCTTTCCATTTGTCATCTTTGTGGTCTGGCCCTCTGCTCAACATATTCCCTCTCTCCTGTTCTCCACATCCATCTATCTTCTCTATTTTCCATCTTCTCTGTACCAACTTAAAAAAAAAAAATCCATTACCATATAATCCAAACTTGACAAAACAAGAGCTTGAGATCAGCCAAGCGGTTTCCAGTGTACACAGACACACACAGCCCCAGGGGCCAGGTAGCCTAGACGCCAACGCTGCAAGTAGACTGAAGATCACCTCGGTGTCTGATCAAAGTCAGCTTGAGCTTTTGATAAAAGCGCTTTGTCCTCGCTGCCCGTGTTTGTCACAGAGGGTTCAGAGAGCAGCCAGCCGGCCATAATGGTTCATTGTTACGGCCAACGAGGTCCTCACTGCAGCACCTGGTGTGAGGACACGAGGTTGTTGGTCACAGTAGAGGCACATTAAGTAGGCGGACTTCCAAAGTATTTCCTTTCTTTGTTGAATCACATCCCGTTATCACCTTTTTGGCTTCCTGTAGTTCGTGCGTGTTTACCTGAATCCTGTGCCACGGATTGTCCCACATGGAAGGGCTACTTTGGATTTAAATGGCATTAATGGTCCTATTCTTGGCCTTAAGTCTGCCTCACTCTTCGGCGTTGACGGAGCTGTGTTGGGGTGGTTGAGCCTGGCTTGTGTTCAGCATATAGGGGAATATACCTGTGTGTGTAACATGTGAGGCTTGCGTTCCCCCCCCTGCTTACACGTGTCTGTTTAATGGGGCTTAATTACTTACGTTGCGTGTGGCCGAATGAAGCCGCGGCCTCGATCCACACGTGGACGCAATGAAAGACCCGGTTCAAGCCGCATCGGTTGTGTTTTCGGCAGTAAACGCGCGGTAGTTTCGCGCCGGTGAGGCTGCACAAAGCCCGGCCGGCATGCACCAGACTCCGCGTTCAAATCCCGCGATTTAAGCCTCTCCGAGTCTCTCTCTCGCGCGCGCACACACACACACATCGATACGAGCCCTCTATTGTTTCCAACGATACGCCCGCAGTCCGAGGAGTCGGCAACCCTGCGCACGGAAACCGTATCGAGGAGAGGGGAGGAGGAAGAGGAGGAGGAGGAGGAGGAGGGGAAGAGGGAGGTCTTGGAAGAAGCGATAGAGAGTCTATCGTGGTGGTGGAGTAGTGAGACGGGACCCGCAAAGAGCAGCTCGGTGAAGCTCCGCGATTTTTGTTGTTTCGTGTCCTGCGACCAGAGACCGACAAAGCGGGAACGAGCGGAGACGCGCGGCGGGTCTTCTTTTCGTCTTTCGGGGTGCGACAGAAAGCTGAGACAACCGTCCACTCTGGATCTCTTCATCCGCTTCCTGTCGTCCAGGATGAGGTTTAAAAGGAACGGGTCCTACACGCTGAACAGGTGAGAGGCGACGCGGTGAGCTGATCACGTGTTATCCTTGCGGGGGGGCTGGGGGCGCGTGTTATATTGCTTATAAATCAATTCACTTTCCGCGGAGGCTCACAGTGACACTTTATACCGTCTTTCCTGCACACTGATGACTCTTCAATAATACTTTCAGGCACACTTACTTTTCAATGCGACATTACGTCATTGTGATCTTCATCGAGGACTTTTGAGGCTGCATCTGATTAAAAAAACAAAAAAAACCACAATGTTGCCCCTCTTTATTATTCTAGAGTGGAAAAAATTCCTCTCAAGGGGTCCAGTGGTTTCATTTCAATGTGCCACCCCAGTGTATTGAGTCTGTGGGACAGACTCTGGAGGAACCTGTCTGTCTCGCTTTTAGGAGGAGGGGGGGGTCTGTCTCACCATTCCATTGTGGAAAAGAGCAAAATGATCTATACTCTGGCTTTTTTTTATCGTCTCCTCTCCTTCCCTTTCAGTCAAATACCCCCCCCCCCCCCCCCCCTGCATCCATTCTAGCAACTTTGTATGTGTGATGGCAACGGCCTGTTTTGTATTCACAGATCAACCAGAGCTTTTATATTCATACATTGTGTTATCGCTATAAGTCACAAGTTTATAAGGAAAAGTCTTTCTTTGTCTGCCTGCCATCCAGACGGATGTCTTGCTTTTATTGTGGGTCTGGATTTCGTGATAAGGCCCACATATTTAGAGGAAGTACGCTCAGAACTGGGCCATATTGTTGGAAAGTGGCAGTTGATTTGTTGTCGGTTTCACTTGTTCCTCTTTTCCCGTGACCGTCCGCTGCACGCACGCACGCACACACACACACACACACATCCCCCCCTTTTCAATACTGAAACTCAAAGGGGACCCGATAAGTGCCAAAAAACATCTTCGGCGCTCTGTTGTAAGAGCGAGAAGGGAAGGACCCTTTGCTTCCTCGTGCAAGAATCCCCGCCTGGCCCCTGCCATCCCTGTGTTGAGCAATGGTGTCACGCGTGTCGCAAGTGTGTATTCCCATGTGTGCAGGAGAGCGGGAAGAGATGATTGGCCTGGTAGCTCCTGGCGACAGGTCTCCAGGGAGGTGCAGGGAGTGTCTGAGGGGGAGGGGTGACGTCATTGGATGTAGAAGCGCTTCGCATCTTCTTTTATCGGCTAGAACAGTAGCGGAGAGACTGACACGCTGTGTTGTCGTATGGCAGTCTTCGTTTACAGCATCACACACACACACGCACCTGAACACTGCCTTCCTTTTTGTTTTTAAAGCGATTGGTCTCATGGAAAGAGATACAACGAGGCCCATAATTCACCCTGTGTCCTTCACGCTGTTTGACCACCCAGGACTCCGCAGCGATTGGCTGGCTTCCTGGGGGCTTGCGTCCGCACTGCCCCCTCCCGTCGGGTCCCGTCCCTCTGCATCATTTCTGTGAATGAAGAGCGTTATCCGTGTGCTGCTCGCTCACGTGTGCGGTTCCTCTGGAGTGTCGACTCCAGAGGATCGCTGCCAAATCACGCAGCGGCGGGCAACTTGTTGACACCGACTCGCCGTCCAGAGATGCTGAACAGGATTTTGACTTTTGACTGATTTGGCAAAAGGCGGGTGTGTTTTGGTCTGTGAGCGTCTGGTGGATATTGGATGTATCCATGTGATTTGATTTCTTCCCGTCTTTCTCTCTCGCGGTCCTCCCTGCGCTGCCCAGCAGTCAGCATTTTGTTTATGGGACGCTGTTTGCCAAGCTAATCTTCCCGCCTTTCAAATGGGAGCCAGCAAGCGAATGAGAGGGAGGGAGGGAGGGAGGGAGAGCGAGAGGGAGGGAGACAGACAGACAGACAGAGAGGGAGTGAGAGTGTGAAAGTGAGGCAGGCAGTTGCAGTATAGTTGGAAAGGAGAAAGAGAAACATGCTCAGAGAAGCGGGTCTGGATTTGTGAATTCTTTTTGGTTCCTGCCGATTTTGCTCGGGCCGAGTCCCTCGTTGGCCTGCGTCCATTTGTCCATTCGTCCCGCCCGTCTCTCGTTGAAGCCACAGTAGCTGTTTTGGTTCACGAAGGCGCTATACTGGCGCTACTGCACCTGTAGCAGAGTCTGCAAAAGAGGAGCCTTGACGGGAAAGTGAAAGGAAGGAAGGAAGGACGGACGGACTGGTGCTGTGGGTCGGATCCTCGTCAGCCCGGCTCTGCTTCACCCCCCCGATGGGGGTTCTAGTGTGCTGCGACTGCTTCTTCTACCGGTACCTTTCCCCTTTATTGCCTTACGTCATACTCTCCTTTACAGCATTGTTCAACTTATGTTGTCAGACCTTCATTACCCCCCCCCCCCTATTCCGTTATGCTGCTGCGGTCTTGCAGGAGACGTTTGAGGACACTGCTGCTGGAGCGAGCAGAGATTCTGCTGGTATCTTGACCTGGTGTGAAGGAGGAGGAGGCGGAGGTGGTGTTAAGACCAGTCTGGAATAAAACTGCTGCAAGTCATGTAGTTTACAACGTGTTCCTCTTGTCCTCCCGTGAGCCCTTTTGGCTGCGCAGCACTGTTTGTTTGGACACCGCGTTCCCTTTTTTCCCCCCTGTTTACGTCTTTTGTTTTTTTTCTGGTCATTATCTGCAAAATGTACGCTTGCTTTGGTTTCCTACCTGGAACAACAATCGCGTGTTGCTGGGAGGTGCACCCGTAACGCGGCTCTTGGAAAAGGAAGCTAGATGACCGGTTTGACTCAGTGGCAGTCGGAGCAGAGAGGATCCGCTTCCCCCCCCCCTTTGTGGTTCTGGGACTCGCTAGCCTGAGCTTCCCTCATCTGCTGTATAAAGTCTATGTAGCGGCCGTCTGCCACTTCCTATGTGTGAGTGTTGGTACTTTTATTTTGAAATGTAATTCACATCAGAGTCAGGTGGGCAGTGGTTTATGAATGTGTGTAGGCACCTAGGCGGAGTGATGGTTGTATGGACATGGGGGTGAGTCGGGAGACGATACTTTTTGTTGACCGTATTCTACAGCGCACTTTATTGCATCGTCGCACCGCATGTATCGCTTCGCCTGCTTGGATGTTTTTTAACTTGACTTTCGGACAATAAAATTCACAGGAGGAATCTGCGTCTGTTTGGAACGAGTCCACACACCAATCTCCCGTACTTAGCCTCACGTGACTCTACCGGATTGTAGTCACCACATTCTAAATTTAACTTTCCAGCTCTCTGAGGTGTAAGGTAAAATTGTAGCTTTAACAAACACACACACACACACACACAACACATGGCGCAGCTGGATTAGATTAGGCCTTGCTGCCATTTAGAACTTTGTTTACACTTTGCCGCTGCTCTTTGTGTGAATGACAGCCTGCCCTTTAAGTGTGTACGAGCGTGTCATGTTATAAATACAGTAGGCCCCTGTGAAACGCACACAGAAGCCTCGTTAAAGGCATCGGCTCGTGCCGGGAACGGAGCCACTCGTGGTTATTTCCCTCCCGGTCCCGGTCACAGCAGGGTTGGGACCTGCCGTGTGCACTGATGTCTCACAGGCTCATTAAGACAAAATGGGCCATCAAGTCTTTTTCCGGCACTTCCTCTCCCCGGGCGGCACCGGTCGGCCAATCGGAGCGCCTTGGGGTGGTGATGTCATAAGGCTTTGGACGATGTGTGTTGTTGGAGGCACACCCTTCCAAGCAGGTCCTCGTTGACCTCTGGCCAGCCGAGCCCCCCGAGCCCCCCTCTCCGTCGGGCGAGCGCCAGTGTTTCACCTTTCAACAGCAGCATTGTGTGCAGAGAAACCGACCCGCTGCCGCTGAGAACAGCTTTGGCTCCGATGGCGATCATCCTGTTTAAAATCTAGCGATTGAAGAGTCTGTCATCGGATGAAATGACAAAAAAAGACGGCCTTTGTTTCTCCGCCTTTTTTTATATATAGAAAAGTTGGTAACAAAGGCGCAATGTGCTGTTGAACAACTTCACGTCTGGAAATATGCAATTTTGCTTTCGTGCCGAGAGTTAGATGAAGAAATCAGTGCCCTGTTATTACAGATTAGCTTTGCATAAAGAGTAGACGCTTAAGGAGCGGCTAACAAATATATTGCATGCTAAATCTCTCTTTCTATCGGACTCCACCACTACATGTGGTTTTTACTGGGTCTACTTTAAAAAAAAAAAGCAATTGAAATGAGGTTGAAACGTGCTCACGGTCATGACTCTTGTCTTCTGTTTGCTGTCTGTTGACACATTAACCTGTCTGGTTCGGATTCAATTTGGCCCAATATTGACTCTGTAATACACCCAGTCACTATTTAATAGTTAAAATAAGTCAACCTTGCAGGATCAATTTTCCAGGGTCTCCTTCAACTCAACAGCTTAATGTAACTGTACCCGTTTCATGCGCTGCTGTTGTCGTGCTGCAGGAGAGCAGATGTAGTCAGACCTCGAGGCTCCATCTCATGACAAAAGCGTGTGTGTGTGTGTGTGTGTGTGTGTGTGTGTGTGTGTGTGTGTGTGTGTGTGTGTGTGTGTGTGTGTGTGTGTTTGCTTGCTCTCGGTGGATCACTTGGTAAATGTTCTAGTGTGTGATACGGAACAATAGTTGTGACTGTATCGCGGCTCTGCGTGTGTTGTGTTAGCAGAGCGCGGCGTGCTGTTTTCCATGTGTCTCTCGTTAGGCTATCTTTGGCAGCTCGGGCTGCCTCCACAGAGCCGGGGCGGCGCAGCTCAACAAGGACGCCATTCTCCACCCCCGAACCCAGTCACTCCCTCCGTGGTCTCTCGGACGGGAGCTGAAATGCTGCAGTCTTTTAGGGAAGTTAGGCTGCACTGGTTGGCTAAATCAGTCTTGGCCTGGAGGAAGAGAACCGCGTAATTCGCTGTATAATCCGGCTGTTTGGTCATTCTTTCACACCTAAACTAGTTGGGGCACGTAGTCTGACTTCTGACTTAACCAGGGTGAAAAAGAACCGCATCAGTGGGGTTTTAGAGACATAAATAACCTGTTGGCTTTTGATCTTTGTCCTTGGATTTG